GGCTTAGTTGCCCTGACTGTGGGATATTCCCAGATCAGGGATCAAACCTGTGTCTCCTCCATTGGCAGGTGGATTCTTTACCACTGAGCCACCAGAGGAGCTCTCTTGGTGACCCAATGGGCTGTAGCCCACCAGGCTTCTCTGTCCATGGAATTTTCAGGCAAGAATACTAGAGTGGATTACCATTTGGTTCTCTAGGGGATCTTCCTGACCCAGGGATTGAGCTTGCATCTCCTGTGACTCCTGCATTGTAGGTAGTTTCTTTACCTGTTGAGCCATCAGAGAGCTAAATGAGGGAGGGAGGTCAGCTATGGGACTGTGTTCACCCACCTGAGGCTGGAGCTTGAAGTATAAGCTACAAAGGTATCCGGTGGGTGTGCATGCACCGTGCTGTGTTCAGCCATTCAGTCGTGTCCAACTCTTTGCGACCCCATGGACTGTAGCCCGTCAGGCTCCTCTGTCCATGGGATTTCCCAGGCAGGAGTACTGGAGTGGGTTGCCATTTCCACAGGCCTAGTGTCACTAAAATGTGTTGTTTTTTTTAAATTGACTTTTTTTTTTTATTTTGCTGCACCACACAGCATCAACCAGGGGTTGAAACTGTGCAGAGTCTTAATCACTGAACTGCCAGGAAGTCCCTCAAATGTGCTCTTTTTCAAGAAGTAGAAACTTTTTTTCTTATTGTTAGTAAACAACTTATTCTTCTATTTGCCTAAGGCCAGCTGTTGCAGGCACTGAGGCCCCAAGACTTCCAGAAGGGATGGGTGGGTGGGGGGGGGTGGCGAGCCATCCTGCCTCCCAGCTGCTGCCTGCCCCATCCTGCTTCCTGCAGGAGATGGAAGAGTAGATGAAGTGTACCCTCTCGCCATCAAGTATCTCTTCAATTGTGTGTGTGTCAATAGCTCAGTTGTGTCCGACTCTGCGACCCCATGGGCTGTAGCCCATCAGGCTCCTCTGTCCAAGGGATTCTTCAGGCAAGAGTAGTGGAGTGGGTTGCCATTTCCTTCTCCAAGAAGTTAGAAGTTCTGACTTTTATATGAAATCTCCTGATTTTAAGATTCTGATAGCTAGTCTCAAAGAAAAATGCTGTCAAAGAATTTTGCATCCTGTTTTGGCTGGAGGGTCCTGGTTCTCAGCTTCTACGCTATAGAGTAGGGATGGGGCGGGAGCCTGAGGAGGAATGGGACGTGGGGGCAGGAAAGGGGTTGGTGGGTGGAGATGACTTCAGAGACATGATGCTATTGGAACTGGGGTCTTGAAGGATGAGTAAGTGTCCCAAGGGGTAGGGGAAGACATTCCAAGCAATGGGAACTTCATTAACAAAGGCTTAGATGCATGACCAAGACTGTGACTGGTTGGGCGAGGCTGAAGTTTAGGAAAATGGCTGGTGATGTCGGCAAGGCCCAGGCAGGCCCCGGGCGGGAGGGAAGTGTTGAGACCTCAGCCCCTAGGTGTCCTTGAGGCCTGGGTGGCTCCACAGAGGTTTGAAACCTTTGTTTGGCATCCCTTGAGCCACAGGGGTGCGGGAATTCAGGCAGGTATGGAGGGCCTTGAATGGCTGGTGCCAGGCCCTTGAGGGGTTATGGTGAGGGCTGCACTGGAGGGCCCTGTGGCCAGCTCGATCGTGGTCAGCGATTTGCCGGGATACGCGGCCTTCTCTGGGGCCGGGGGCTAGTTGGTCACTCTCTTTCTTCCTTTACCCTCTCTTGGTCTTGAGCTTTGCATGGCCTTCTCTCTAGCCTTCTGGCTTCTATATGGCCTCTGCTCATCCATCCGGTTCCCCAGCAAGGCACGGCTTCTGAAAGTGGGGATTTGGGATTCCAAGGGCTGTTAAGAGACTTAGAGAGTGCCCGGAGCTTGACAGTGCTTTGTGGGCTCAGGTGTTACCCACGTTATGAGTACGTTAAATAGGAATACATGAAAACAGCAGCTGGCCCTTCCTCAGGGTTGTGTGCCAGGCATGACACTTCCTGTGTATCAACTCATTTAATTTTCACAACTTTGGGAAGTATGTCAAGTTTTCCGGTTTTATAGATTAGGAAACTGGGGGCACTTGAGGAACTTGCCCAAGAATGTGCAGTTACTGGGTGGTAGGGCTTGGGTTTGAATGAAGCTGCCTAGCTCTAGTCTGCCCATGTAACCCTTAGGCTCTATTGACCTAGGGCTTTAGGGAGTTGGAGGCATTGGGTTTGGACTCTGAAATTATTACAACATTTCACAGCGTACGTGCATTTTTTTTTTTTAATGGGAAAATGTCTGTTTCCCACAAGGGTCGGTGACCCCAAGATGCCTGAGACTGCTGGTAAGTCATTAGCACACATGTTGAAAGGCTGTTAAGGCCGGTGACCAGAGCACCCAGGCCAGCAGGGGAGGTGGGGTTAGATGGCCTGAGTAGGCAGATGCCTCCCCACCCACTGTGCTCCTGTCCTGGCCCTGGGCCAAGGGGTGGGGCTCGCTGTGGCTGTAGGGCAGAGGGCTGCCCTTATCGAAGGGGAACGGGACATGGGTGCACCCTAGGAATAAGCTGGACAAGTCACCCCAGCTCTTTTGGCCCCACCCAGGAAGCCAGTCCTGTCTTGCCCTGCTCTCAGCTGGAATTGCAGGGACTCCCTGGAAAGCTCTGCCTGCTCCCTTATCTTTAGAGGGATAGCTGTGCTGTGTGTCCCTCCCTCTTCCTACCCCGGGTCAACCCTTGCTTGGCTTTCTGGCCAGTTCAGGTACCACTTCCTTCAGGAAGCCTTCCTTGATCTTCCCCCTTCCTCCTCCAGGGGGATTAAGTGCCCCTCAGTTCTCTCAGATACCCTCTCTCCTCCCACTGTCACTCTCCCTGCATCGTAGGTGCCTGTTTTCTTGGCTGCCTTGGGTTCCCTGTGGTGCTAGTACATCGTGTAAGAGAGTGAACTGTAGAACATCAGAGGTGGAAAAGTCCCCAGACATCATCTGGCCCAGGCCCCTTGCTGACCGACAAGAAGCTCAGAACGGGGCAGAGCATGCCTGAGGCCATGTAGCACATTAAGGCAGGACTGAGAGCGGACCCAATGTCCAAGACATGCCCTCATTTCATACCCGTGCCTCTTTGCTTCTGAGCATATCCTTTAAAAATATTTGCTTTCATATATTCACAAAGTAACAAATGATTATTATAGGAAATCTAGGAAACAAAGGAAAAGAAAAGTCAGAGATAATTGTTACTGTTTTTTGTTTTGATTTTTGGATTTAGTACCAGTTTCTGATTTATGCATAAAATTTTTCACAAAAATAAGACCGTATGGTCTTATAAAAATGTTTTCCACTTTAATAATATATATGGTAATTATATTTTTGTGTCAGTAAATGTCCTCCTTCAACATATTGTAAATGGCTGCCTGGGATTCCATCACATGCTTGCATTATAATTGCTAAAGACAGTCCCCTATTGTTGGGCATTTGCTATTATAAACAACACTCCATGCTATTATACAGCACGGGGATTCGTTTTCTTGTGGGAAATCTTTGCACACTTCTGCAATTACTACCTCTAGGATGAGTTCCTAGAAGTACAGCTGTAGGGTCTCTGGTAGATTGTACCCACGCTGAGCAGACCATACAGTCTGAAGGCTGGGAGCGACTTTGAGGGTCTTCATCCCTGCCTCTGGGTCTGAAACACACATTCCCCTCCTGGTGCTCCAGCCCAGTCCCTCACACCTCCTGTCCCTGTCCCCGTTTCCCATCCTGCCGGGGGCTCTCCTGCCAGCTTTCAGCAGCTGCCTCCGCTCATGTTTAAGGGAAACCATGTAGAGGGCCGGGGTCAGGGTGCTGTTTGGGTGAGGATGTTGGTCGAGCCTGGGATCCTCAAGGCAGGGGGGTTTGGTCGCCTGCTGTGCTGGGCTGGTTTGTGCCACTGTGGGCTTGTGCCCTGAGGATGAGAGATGCCTGTTGTGTTTGGGGCAGATAGCGACAGGTGCCATTTCTTGCATGTGGCTTACGCCATGCTCCTCCAATAGGTTTCATCAGTTATCCCTCGGCCCCAACCCAATGCAGTAGGCCTGGTGATTTCACACGCGAGATCGCTGATGCTTGAGAGGGCCTTCTAGCACAGCCAAGCCACTGATGCCTCACAGCCTAGGTCTGAATCCTAGTCTGAGCCTTAGTCTTTAATCTGTCAGATGGTGCTGCTGGGCACATTCCGAGAGAGAAATGGGTGGGAAGCACGCGGGTAAGGGAGTGGGGGAACGTGGTGTTGGGTTGTGATTTAGAATTCCACCTCTAGCTGCCAGGCCTTGCGAATGTTTATTGTCTCACTTTGCTTCTGGAGTCTTCTTGGTCTTACCAGAGCAGTCTTGGACTCTGGTAATCATGATAAACAGTATCTATCACTGTAGACACCATACGCAGGTAACTGCTCAGCATGATGTATACATTATGGGATGAAACCTCCCAGCCTCCAGTGAGGCAGGTACTGTTGTTAACACATGGAGAGAGTGAGGCTCAGAAAGATGAAGAAGCATGCACCCAGGACAAGCGGCAGTAGTTGAACTCAGGCCGGCCTAGATCAGGTCCTGTGGGTCCACAGTCGGTGGAGCCTCAGAGCCCACACTCTGGCTTTCCACCTTCTGACTCTGCTTCTCTCTCCACAGCCTTGGCCCCGGGGGCCCCACTGAGCGAGCGGCATGCAGCCCCCCCAGGCCTGCCCAGCATCCTTCTGCCTGCTGCCCAGCCCCCCCAGGAGGCCCTGACGCCCTGGGGCACTTCTGCTGTGCACAGGACTACGTGGGGGTTTGCCATGGTGACATAACGGGGTGCGGAGGAAGGAAGGAGCGCAACCAGCCGTGGACTGCGCCCCTGGCTGGGAGGAAGGGCCAGGGCTCTGATCCTCCTCTCCCCTGCCCGCTGCGGGCCACACTTGCTGAGTCTCTGTGACTCTCTCGGCCGGTGGACACCTCGGGTATCTCCTCCTGCGTGGGGCCTTGGGGTGGCCCGGGCAGGCCAGGGCCCTGCTGGCCAAGGTCTCGGGGGCCAGGATGCCTGCCCTGGCGCGCCTCCGTAGGTTGTGTCGGCACGTGTCCCCGCAGGTCGTCCTTTTCCTGCTGTTCGCCTTCTGCCTGTTCAGCGTTTTTGTCTCGGCCTACTACCTTTATGGCTGGAAGCGGGGCCTGGAGCCCTCGGCGGACGCCCCCGAGCCTGACTGTGGGGACCCTCCTCCAGTGGCCCCCAGCCGCCTGCTGCCACTCAAGCCCATCCAGGCGGCCACCCCTTCCCGCACGGACCCGCTGGTCCTGGTGTTCGTGGAGAGCCTCTACTCGCAGCTGGGCCAGGAGGTGGTGGCCATCCTGGAGTCCAGCCGCTTCAAATACCGCACGGAGATTGCACCGGGCAAGGGCGACATGCCGACGCTCACCGACAAGGGCCGTGGCCGCTTCGCCCTCATCATCTATGAGAACATCCTCAAGTACGTCAACCTGGATGCCTGGAACCGGGAGCTGCTGGACAAGTACTGCGTGGCCTACGGCGTGGGCATCATCGGCTTCTTTAAGGTATGTGGGGAGCAGGTCTGAGCAGTGAGGAGCTCCAGCCGAGCCCGATTCTCATCCCACACTTGTGGCTGAGCTCCTGACTTTCCCACCTGTACAACGGGTATAATGACGGCACCTCCTCCCAGCTTGTTGGTCATGAAGGGTGAGCGGGTGAATGTGGGTAAGGCACTTGGGGCACATGGTGCTTCATGCCTGGTAGGTGCCTTTTAAGTATTAGCTTTATTAGAAGCACACAACAGGGGCATTGCCTGCTGTGCACAGGCCTTGCACACTGCAGGCCTGTTCTCAAGGGCAGCCCTAGGGATGAGTGCAAGGGAGGAGAGCATGTGTTCTGCCGGGTCATTCAGAACCTGTCACGGCAGTTCTCCCAAGGGTGGGGGTATGACCCTATTTTGTAGATGGGCAAACCAAGGCTCAAGAGGGTTGTTAGGTTACAGGAGGCTGTGCGGCCTGTAAGTGGGAGAGCCTGAGCCCAGACTTAGATGGCTGGGGCTCTGAGTCCTGCACCCTTTCCTCTTGGCTGTGGAGGGGTAGATGGAGTTCATGCACCCCTGAACCAGAGCCACTTAGCATTGGAAGAAGGAGGGGAAAGAAATCCCAGAGGACAGGTGAGCTGCTCTGGGCTTGGTGGGGCACCTGGAGCGACCACTGGGACCGCGGTCCTTGCTGAAATTGTCATGGAGAAGCTGTCCTTGGGGAGGAGGTTGGGGACATGGAGAAGCTGTCCTTGGGGAGGAGGTTGGGGACAGCTGGATAGGGGACCCAGAGGCTCTGGCCGGAGAGCTCCGACCTGCACGGTGGGTGACTGGAACTGTAGCTGGGTGCTCAGGGGTGTTTGTTCCTGCATTCAGCAAATATTTACGGAGTGCCTGCCATGTTTATGTCCCTTGGTGGGCACTGGGGACACAGTGGTGACAAAGTGTGCAAAGTCCCTGTGGTTGTGCTGCTGACATTTCCGGGCAGTAGGTGGGGTGGGTGACTAGACAGTGAGCAAATAAACATACCATGTGTCAGGTGGTGATAAGTACAAAAAAAAGAAGCAGGAAAGGGCATGTGGATGATGGGTATGGGCAGTGGTGCTGGTTTTGATAGAATGGCCAGAGACATTGTCTTTGATTAACTGACTGGAAGGGCGTGAGAGGAGCCCATGGCTCTGTGCAAAGGGCCTTCCAGGCAGAGGAGACAGTAAACACACAGGTCCCAAGGTCAGCCCTTGTGTGGTGTGAGTGGAGAGAGGAGCAGGAGATGGGTCAGAAGTAGCCCGTGGGCACCGACGGCTACTTGTTCGTCGCCAGGCGTTGGTGGCCCAGCTGTGCCCTGGCCCTGTGCTCCGTACTGGGGAGACTGTGGTCTACATGAGGGTGTCTCACAGCATGTTCTTTCATGCACTAATGGAGCAGGATGCTCTGCCACCAGAAAAGGTTTTGTGGGCCAAGAAATTGAAGGCCCTTAGAAGTCCTGCAGTGGAGCAACCTAGTGATCTTTGTTCCCCAGCTGGCTTGATGACAAAACCCTTTATTTCACATCTCAGCATCTGGGAAATGCTGGCCTGGTTTGTGGCTGGGCAATGGCATCGCGTCAGACGGCTTCATTTTCTGCTTTCCCTTTGCTCCTGGACTCTGTTCCCTTTCCTGCCATGGACTTCATTATGCTTGATTCAGAGCCACAGGCCTGAGAACTGCCGCAGTGGCTGACAGTTACTGAGTGCTCATGCACAGCCACACACATCCTATGCGCTTTATGTGAACTAACACAGTTGACACTCATAAACCATCCTCCAAACCAGGTGGAGGTCATCTTGATTTGAGAGAGAAGGAAACTGAGGCAAGGAGGGGCAAAGCAATGTGCCCACCCACACTCACACCTCTAATGAGCATAGGTGTAGGATTTGAACCTAGGTGGTCTGGTTCCAGAGACTCTTATTCCCAACACTCGGATGAGTCCAGGAGCATTGAAAACCACGTATTTAGTAGGATTTGCACCAGAGGCCACGCCCAGTACACAGAGTTCCCCTGGTTTCTGGGGACCAGTCAGTGGACTCTGGTCATTGGGTGCAGTGGGTACAACAGATGCTCTTAGGCCCTGGTTCCTTGCTATACAGAAGGTGAACACTGGCCCAGGGAGGGGCAGGGGTGTGCTGCGTCTCCTGTGGGACCTCCTTGGTGGTCATTCCAGGTCTCCATGCGCTTTCCACCCTACTGTGTAAGACAAGACCCCTCCTTGGTTTTCATCAGGGGTGGTGACTTTCCATTCTAACGGGAGCCATCTGGTGGTCAGGCTGCATGTTTCTGCTCTTCTGCAAGAAACATGTGCTGCAGGTCGGGGGTTGGGACTCCAGGGGTCTGGAAGCGCTCACTTTCCAGTGCCCACAGCACTGGACTTCCTGGTCAGTGGGAGAGCAGGGGCTGGAGGGTCCAGACTGCGGGTCACCTCTTCCTGTTACTTATAGACGGAGTGACCTTGGGCAGGATATTCAGCCAGTCTATGAAATGGGGCCACTCACAGCACCCGCCTTGTTGTGCCACATTGAAGACAAGACAGTGGACAGGAAGCGCTAGCACAGTGCTTGGTACCCAGTGCCACCCAGGAAATAGCAGCTGGCTTGCCTTGTCATCTTATCTCAGCACACACAACTGGGGGTGGCTCTCTGCCTTGTGGCTCAGCCAACATGTGCCCCTGAGGTCCCTTAGGGCAGAGTCAGTCTTCGTCAGTAGCCCTGTTTCCTGGCTCAGCCTGGCAGCTCCAGGTTCCCCCGGGTTGAGCACATCCTGGCAGAGGCCTGACAAGGGCCTGTGCACACTTGTGTGTGTGTGTGTTAAGTTACCTCAATTGTGTCTGACTCTTTGCGACCCCATGGACTGTAGCCTGCCAGGCTCCTCTGTCCATGGGGATTCTCCAGGTAAGAACACTGGAGTGGGTTGCCACGTGCTCCTCCAGGGGACCTTCCAGACCCAGGGATCAAACCCCCGTCTCTTTTGTCTCCTGCATTGGCAACTGGAGTCTTTATCACTAGTGCCACCTGGGAAGCCCTGTTTGCACACTTACTCTGTGCCACACCCTCAGCTCATTGCCTTGCAGGCCTTGTTGTTCCATTGCTCAGTCATGTTCAACTCTTTGTGACCCTATGGACTGTAGCATGCAGCATGCCAGGCTCCCCTGTCATTCACCATCTCCCAGAGATTGCTCAAACTCCTGTCCATTGAATTGGTGACGCCATTCAATCATCATATCCTCTGTCACCCCCTTCTCCTCCTGCCCTCAATCTTTTCCAGCATCGGGGTCTTTTCCAAAGAGTCAGCTCTTCCCATCAGGTGGCCAAAGTGTTGGAGGTTCAACCTAAGTGTCAGTCCTTCCAGTGGATATTCAGGGTTGATTACCTTTAACATTGACTGGTTTGATTTTCTTGCTATCCAAGGGAATCTCAAGAGTCTTCTCCAGCACCACAGTTTAAAAGTATGAATTCTTTGGTGCTCAGCTTTCTTTATGATCCAACACTCACATCCATACATGACTACTGGAAAAACCATAGCTTTGACTAGACGGACCTTTGTTGGCAGAGTAATGTCTGTGCGTTTGAATACCATGTCTAGGTTTATCACAGCCTTATTTCCAAGGAGCAAGCGTCTTTTAATTTTGTGGCTGCTGTCCCCATCCCCAGTGATTTTGGAGCCCAAGAAAATAAAGTCTGTCACTGTTTCCACTTTTTCCCTATCTATTTACCATGAAGCGATGGGATGGATGCCGTGATCTTCGTTTTTTGAACGTTGAGTTTTCAGCCAGCTGTTTAACTTTCCTCGTTCACCTTCATCAAGAGGCTCTTTACTTCCTCTTCGCTTTCTGCCCTTAAACTGGTATCATCTGCATATCTGAGGTTGTTGATATTTCTCCTGGCAATCTTGATTCCAGCTTTTGAGTCATCTAGGCCGGCTTTTCACAGGATGTACTCTGCATACAAGTGAAATAAGCAGGGTGACAGAATACAACCTTGACATACTCCTTTCCCAGTTTTGAGCCAGTCCATTGTTCCATGTTAAGTGAAATAAGCAGGGTGACAGAATACAACCTTGACATACTCCTTTCCCAGTTTTGAGCCAGTCCATTGTTCCATGTTCAGTTCTGTTGATTCTTGTCCTGCCTACAGGTTTCTCAGGAGGCAGGAAAGGTGATGTGGTATTCCCAGCTTTTTAAGAATTTTCCACAGTTTGTTGTGATCCACACAGTCAAAGGCTTTAGCATAGTCAATAAAGCAGAAGTAGATTTTTTTTTTAAATTCCCTTGCTTTTTCTAAGATCCAGCGGATGTTGGCAATTTGATCTCTGGTTCCTCTTTTTTGGATCCAGCTTGAACACCTGAAAATTATTGGTTCACATACTGCTGATGTCTAGCTTGAAGAATTTTGAGCATAATCTTGCTAGCATGTGAAATGTGCAGTTGTGTGGTAATTTGAACATTCTTTGGCATTGCCCTTCTTTGGGATTGGAATGAAAACTGACCTTTTCCAGTCCTGTGGCCACTGTTGAGTTTTCCAAATTTGCTGGCATATTGAGTGCAGCACTTTAACAGTTACCATCTTTTAGGATTTGAAATAGCTCAGCTGGAATTCCGTCACCTCCACTAGCTTTGTTCATAGTGAGATATCCTAAGACCCACCTGACTTCACAGTCCAGGATATCTGGCTCTAGGTAAGTGATCATACTATCGTGGTTATTTGGATCATTAAGACCTTGTTTGTACAGTTCCTTTGTGTATTCTTGCCACCTCTTTTTAATCTCTTCTGCTTCTGTTAGGTCCTTGCAGTTTTTGTCATTTATTGTGCCCATCTTTGCATGATATGTTCCGTTGGTATCTCCAATTTTCTTGAGCTTTCTAGTCTTTTTGTTGTTTTCCTCTATTTCTTTGCATTGTTCACTTACAAAGGCTTTCTTGTCTCTCTTTGCTATTCTCTGGAACTTTGCATGCAGTTGAGTATATCTTTCCCTTTCTCCTTTGCCTTTCTCTTCTCTTCTTTTCTCAGCTATTTGCAAGGCCTCCTCAGACAACCACTTTGCCTTCTTGCATTTCTTTTTCTTAGGAATGGTTTTGGTCACCACCTCCTGTACAACGTTGCAAACCTCCGTCCATAGTTCTTCAGGCATTCTGTCTACCAGATCTAATCCCTTGGATCTATTCATCAGCTCCACTGAATAATCCGAAGGGCTTTGATTTAGGTCATACCTGAACGCTCTAGTGCCTTATCATATATAATTGTCACAGGTCCTGCAAAGTGAGTACTTTGTTTTCAGGTGAGGAATTGAGGCTCCGAAAGTAACATGGCTGTCTAGACTGACACAGCTTTTAAGTCTGAGCCAAGATTCAGCCACCCTGCTCAGCTCTTCTAACCCACTTGTAGGCGTAAACTAACCAATGGCTGTAAGACCTGAGGCGCTGGGAAGTAGCGCCTTGGGAAGTAGCACCCTGAGGTCCCCAAGGTCATGCAACCAGTTACTCTCAGTCTGTACTAGGCCTCCCCACTCCCGGGTCAGGGCTGTTCCTTCCTCTGCCTGATGACCCCACTGGAAGATGTGGTGTCTCCTGTGTGGGTCCCAAGTGCTGAAGAACAGGAGGGATTCCCCTCCCTTGGGGAGAGGCCCACAGTGAGGGGTCATGCTTATGCTTATGCTTACTTTCCATTCCCTTCCCAGACGGTTGCTTTCACTGCGGGCTGGGGTGGACAGTCAGTGACTTGGCTTTCTCCCTTCCTCGCCGTGCCCCAGCTGGCCAGCTGCCTGAGCTGCCAGCGCCTGGCAGTCAGTTCAGGATCGGGGCTTTGAAATGAGATCCCCCAGTGCCTATGGTCCACTGTGGCCTCCCCAGCCACAGCAGGTGATGGACAGGGCCTGAGATGTCGCTGGCACCCCCTGCCTTTGTCCCCGGTGCTGGCTTAATAGTCCTGGGGACCCTGGGGCTGGGGGAGAGGCCTCTCAATTTGGGACTCTCAACACAAGGGTGGGGAGTTGGCAGGTATTCCTGGTGTGTGGAGAGTGGAACACAGGCCCCTTACCTCAGTTCGTGAGGCCAGGGCCCTCCAGAGCCTTCACGGGAATTACAGAAAAGCACTTTGCGTGGAGGTTATTACTAAAAGGTGCCCTGGACACAAGGCTCAGCCCTCAGCAAGTGTCCTTGCACAGCGCTCACATGGCCAGCTCTCCAGGACGGCCCAGTGCGCCGCCCTTCCTCCCTCTCCAGCCTCATTTGGCGCCCTTTGTCCACTCTTGCTTTGTCCCACCCCAGTCATTCTTCACACAGTGGCCAGATGGACCTTTTTAAAATGCAAATTGGAACCTGTCATCCCTCTGTTCAAATCCCTTTGATGGGGTCTCTGTTGGCTTCCAAGTGCCACTTCCAGCCTCCAGGGTCCTGCAGGTCTGGCCCCAGCTGACCTTTCTGCCTCTTCTCCCTCTTGATCACTCTGCTGGCCTTTCCATGTTCCTTGACTGTGCCGTACTCTCTCCAATCTCAGGACCTTTGCACCTGCTGTTCTTTGAACTTGGCTCCCACCTCTGCCCTAGTTGACACCTACTCACTCTTTAAATCTTAGTTCAGAAGTCCGTTTCCTAGAGAAGCCTCTCTCGAGCTAGCTGACTGTGCTCAGTTACCTCCTCTTCTAGAGCTCTGAACCTGCGCCACACTGAAGTTTTATGTACATTTCTGCTATTTTGATTTCTCTCTTCTCTGCTTGCCTTTATAGTTCATAAGGGCAGGAGCAGTGTCTGTTTTTCTCACCACATGCCTGTTACTTAACACAGTGCCTGGAATAGTGAATGATAGTGGGATAAACAAATGAGACATGCAATAAACAGCTGCCATGTGCCAGGTATTTGGGATCTGTCTGTTCCTTCTTTTTAAAAGTTCACTTACTCATCAAGTATGCCTTTTCTCCCACTGGGTGTCAAGCCTGTGCTGGCGCCAGGGATCCAAGGTGGAAATGACATCGTCCCCGCCCTTGAGAGGTCACGGACTAACAGGGAGACTCTGAACAGATAGTGCCGCAGCTGAGGCGAGAAGTGCTGCCGCTGAGGCTATAATGTGGTTCCAGGGGCAGAAGAGGGCAGATGCATTGGGTTTTGAAGGATGAGCAGGAGACTGTCAGGCCAAGAAGACTCAAGGAGCTGGCACAGGGACAAAGAAAGATTGTACTACAACCAGAGGAAGGTGACTGGGAGGGTGAAGGACAAGGGTCAGGGGCTGTGAGTCTAGGGAAGAGGAAGAGGGGTGCTGTGGGTACTGTCTGAAGGTCCCAGGGAGCTGGCAGTGGCGGACCCTGGGAGCAGAGAGAGGCACAGGGAGCTGGACTGCTGTGGGGCGTGGCCTTGGGAGCGCTGGGGGTGTCTAGGGCTTGGGAGCACTCTGGGGCGGAGTGTCTGCTCCCGCACCTCCAGCAGTCTCCTGCTCTCTGATCTCTTCTCCATGGGCATTTGCCCAGGCTTTCTCCTGAAGAAAAGATGGTGTGGCAAAAGCCAGCTTGGAAAGCTCAGGCAGGGAGTCTGGTGGTCAGGCAGGTGGACTCGGGTCAGCCATCTGGCTGTGCGGTGTGGCTCGTCCTGGCCACTGTGTGACCCAGGATGGCACCGCGCTCAGAGCCTCGGTGTCCTTGCCTGTGAAGTGGGGCAACAGAGGCTGATGTCAGGACTGAAGGAGTGATGGCGATGCCCGCACTCAGAGTCTCGGTGTCCTTGCCTGTGAAGTGGGGTGACAGAGGCTGATATGAGGACTGAAGGAGTGATAGTGATGCCCGCGCTCAGAGCCTCGGTGTCCTTGCCTGTGAAATGGGGCAACAGAGGCTGATGTGAGGACTGAAGGAGCGATGGTGATGCCGCCGGCCCTGTTCTGATCACTTTGCCAGGCTTAGTGCTCACCTTCCGCCACCAGCCGTGAGGGACTTGCTGCCGGCCATGTTTTATAGCAGAGGAAACTGAGTCGTGGGGAGGTTACATAACTTGCTCAAGGTCAGGCAGACTGGTGGCAGAATCCATGCGCTCCACTGCTAGCTTTCCCGTGTGTGATTTTGGACAGGTTACCTAGCCTTTCCGGGCCTGGTCTCCTTGTCTGTATAACGGAGATGCCTCCATCGTGGGGCTGCTGGGAGGATTACGGGGCCCCTTCACACTGAAGTACACGAGCCCGGTTTCTGGCTCTGGGAAGCCATCCTGTGTGTTAGCTGGTGTAGTACGGAGATAGGCAGAGTGGGGCGTGCTACGTTCACACAGACTCAGGAGTGTGATGAGGCCTCCGGGAATGAGAGTGGGCACTGCTGACATTCCTGTTCTCTGCCCATCTCAGTATTACACCTGAGAGTCCATGGTCCCGGGGGGCTCTGGATCTGATGGCTGCCTTCCCCCTCCCCTCCCTGCTGCAGGCCAATGAGAACAGCCTGCTGAGCGCGCAGCTCAAAGGTTTCCCCCTGTTCCTGCACTCGAACCTGGGCCTGAAGGACTGCAGCATCAACCCCAAGTCCCCGCTGCTCTACGTGACCCGGCCCAGTGAGGTGGAGAAGGGCGTGCTGCCTGGCGAGGACTGGACCGTGTTCCAGTCAAACCACTCCACTTACGAGCCAGTGCTGCTGGCCAAGACGCGCTCGTCTGAGTCCATCCCGCACCTGGGTGCGGATGCCGGGCTGCACGCCGCGCTGCACGCCACGGTAGTCCAGGACCTGGGCCTCCACGACGGCATCCAGCGTGTCCTCTTTGGCAACAACCTCAACTTCTGGCTGCACAAACTCGTCTTCGTTGATGCCGTGGCCTTCCTCACGGGCAAGCGCCTCTCATTGCCTCTGGACCGCTACATCCTGGTGGACATTGACGATATCTTCGTGGGCAAGGAGGGCACACGCATGAAGGTGGAGGATGTGAAGGTATGGCTGGGAATGCCGGGGGGGCAGGGGAGGCCTCACCACCGTCAAACTCTGCTATCCCCACTGTGACTTTGCTCTCTGTACCTCCCTTATGCTGTCCGTGCCCCTCCCTTGGCCACTTGGTTCTATTTTCTTCGCAGCAGGTTGCCATTTAAAATTATTTGAAGTATTGAATATAGAGGAATTTTACATTGGGATATGTGGGGCTCAGGAACATAACTACTGAGAGATGGGAGCTGTGCAGAGTTGTTTACCTACCTCTTAATCCAGACATGATTTTTAACTCTCAAAAAACATGTATGTCGGTATCAAAGCTCCTCCAAAACTCATAAAACAAGAATTAGAGCTTAAATCATAGACAAGGCATACTTTAACTGAGTTCTGTATAGATGGCGGAAGGTGTGTGTTTAATTCAAAAAATGTTTACCTGACTTAACTAACTATATGTAAAAGCATTTTGCAAGCCATGAAATTTTACACGTTTCACTGTTAAAGAGATACCTACAAATTTGAGACCATTAAGCATTCTCTAAAAGACAGCTTCCGTCTACTCACTATTTTACTCAGGGTTATATGCAAAGGGAACATCACTTGTGTAAATGGGGAATCAGCATCACATGCCATAAATAGAGGGCAACCATAACAATAGATCCAGTGAAAACAAAACGGGGGATTAAATTCTAGCAAAGTACTGCTGCCTACTGACCGCCTGTCCTCTCTTCTGTGAGATTAGTAAGAGTTGGAAATGTATTAGCACCAAACCAAGACTTTTTTTATGTTAGGAGGAGGAGTGAAGGAGACTTTGCAGGAAGGCTTTCCTCCCATGGGTGCTGTGTTGGGATTGGCTGTGGCTCCTGAAAGGGCCACAGAGGGTGGGGCCCCCGGGTGAGGGGCAGGGAGACGTGTTGGCCTTTCCTTGGTCCAGAGTGAACTCTCTGCTGCTCCTCACACCTCCAGAGGAGAAGAGCAGAGCAGAGGCTGTTGGGGAGCAGGCAGTGTCTGGGGAGTCAAGACCTGGGTTCAAGTCCCAGTCTGCCCCTAAGTGGGTGACCTGAGCATACCCCTTCCCTTGTCTGAGCCTCAGCAGTGCAATGACAAGATGGGGTGGGTGGGAGGGGCCCGGGAGGCCGGAGCGGGGGTGGGGGGCATGTGCAGATGCCAGGCTCTGAGCCCTCTGCCCCACTTTTAGGACAGGACAGTGTTGCTTTCTTACGTGTTTGCTTCCTAGATTTCACCTCCTCAAGGGTTCCTCTGTTGGAAAAAAGTTTTGCGACAACTCCTCTTGAGCCTTCCAGCTGAGGCTTCATGTGATACCACGACCCACCTCCAGCAAAGTAGATAACTCTGTTTTCTACCTAGGTCTTTCTTCTGGCGGCCCAGCCTTGCTCTCTCCTCTGTAACTTAGGTCTTTGCTGCCTGTCCAGGATGAGTCCTTGAGAGGTTCAGGGTTGGCCCCAGGAGGCAATCAGGCTGCCAGGCTCACTGTGTCTCCCATGAACCCTGGACTTGGCCTCTTGGTTCTTATTTTCCCCATTTTTAGAGTGAGAGAAATGCTAGCAGCTTGGAGGTATTTCTGTAGAAGAATACCAGCAGAGATGCCCTCTTCCCATGCACGCAGCTCAGCGCAGACTGCCGAGCCCTCCAGCAGCCGGGTCCTGTTTGCCTTAAGCATCCTTTTTTGAGTCAGAATGGGCAGAGTTTTTAAAAAATTTTTTCTTCAGTCCCAAGCACTGGTGACAACTGAGCTTTTCTTTCAGAAACATGAATGTTGGCTTATTAACTTGTACAGTATGGGCTGTCCAGTACAACTTAAGTAATACCAACAGCAGCTTTTATTCAAGGCTTGGCAAGCGCCAGGCTCTGTGCTCAACCCTTTCTGTGTGTGGCCTCCCTGATCCTCACAGCAGCTTTGTGAGATGGGTATTGTTTTAAATCCCATTTTACAGAGGCAGACACTAACATTCAGAGAGGTGAAATGAGTGGCTCAAGGCAACACAGCTAGGGCATGGATGTCCATGAGGTGGTGCATGGCCCTAGGAGAGCCAGGACTTTCTGTTAGCAAAGTGTTCTGATAGCAGGCTCTTCTTGCAGGTTTCCTAGCAGCCTTTCACATCATGCCTGGTAGGGATTTTTTGAGTCTCCACTCCGGAGGACAACTGTATGTTTGCTTCACAAGGGTCAGCATCCCTTCACTGACATGCAAAGCACTGGGTGTGCCGTGCATGGAAACACCGCATTGCTGGACACACAGTACAACTTTGGAAAAGTTGTGGTCCTTTGATATCAGCCTTGTAGTCACCAGTGAGGTGAAATCCCCCTCATTTGACAGATGAAGACATGAGGCTCACAGTGGCAGTGTCTGCAGACATGACAGTGCCACCACTTTTCATCATTTACCAAAATGCCAGGCTGTTTTACATGTAGTATCTCATTGAGAGTCCCATGAGAGAGCTGTTATTATCCCCATTTCACACCTAGGGAAACAGGCCTGGAGAAGCTGCTGAACTTTCTCAAGGACACAGTAGTACTAGGGCCTAGGCCTTGTCTTGCTGGAGGCCTGGTGGAGGTGGCGGCCCAGGCTGGCTTCACGGGTATGGGGCCTGCACAGTCACACAGGGCCCCATGCTTCAAAGACGCCCGCACAAGGTTGTCCTCTGATGTTGCCTTCCTGGTATTTTTTAACAATTTTTGTGCAAGCATCCCTATTCTTATTTTTCCCTGGGCCCTGCAGCCTTTGTAGCATGTCCTGTAGGAGCTGGACCCTTGTTGTGGGCCCTCATGGGGGGAGCAGGGAGCTCCTGGCTTCCTCTCACCCCACTGTCCCCACTCTGCCTGTCCTAGGCCCTGTTTGATACACAGAACGAACTACGGACACACATCCCAAACTTCACTTTCAACCTGGGCTACTCAGGGAAATTCTTCCACACAGGTAAGTGGGCCTGGCTCTGCCCCTATTCACAACTTCCACTGCCTCAGCATCCAGACCCTTGGAGTGCAATGCCATGGGGACAGCAGGAGGGTGGATGGGCCCGCTTAGGGTCACATTTGACCTGACTCATGTGGCCTCTCCCCGAACCAGACAGCCCACAGGGAAGTCACAGCCCCAGATAGAGGGCATTTGGGGGTAGCAGTGACGCGACGATATCCCCCGGTTTGTCCCCGGCCCTCCGGCTCTGCTGTCCTGGGGGTGGGCATCTTCTCCCTCTTGTCTGTCTCACCCCACCTTTAATATTCTTTTACTACTTCTGCCTTACAAGGGAACTGGTTGAATTTTAAGAACATTACAGAAATATATAGCAGAGAAAATGAAAAGGCACTATAATTGTACCCACCGCAGAGATGAGCACTGTGATGAGTTTATTTTTTTTTTCTTTCTTTTTAAGATTTTATTGGTGTATAGTTGATTTACAATGTTGTGTTAGTTTCAGGTGATTCAGTTATACGTATACACGTATTCATTCTTTTTTAGGTTCTTTCCTCATATAGGTTATCCCAGGATATCGAGTAGAGTTCCTTGTGCTATGCAGCAGGTCCTTGTTGGTTATCTATCTTATTTATGGTCATGTGTATATGTTAACCCCTCCTGCTGATTATCCCTCCCCTTCCATGTTTCCCCTTTGGTAACCATAAGTTTGCTTTCCATATCTGTAACTCTGTTTCTGTTTTGTGACAAAGTTCACTTGTATCATCTTTTAGAAATCAGATTCCGCTTATGAGTGATGTGGTATTTACTTTGGCTTATTCAGTATGATAATCTGTAGTATCCATGTGGCCGCAAATGGCATCATTTCGTTCTTTTTAATGGGTGAGTAGTAGGTACTGTCAGTTGCTCAGTCGTATCCAACTCTTTGCAATCCCATGGACTGTGCCCGCCAGACTCCTCTGTCCATGGGATTCTACAGGTAAGAATACTGGAATGGATTGCCATTCCCTTCTCCAGAGGATCTTCCTGACCCAGGAATTGAACTTGGATTTCCTGCATTGCAGGCAGATTCTTTCCCATTTGAGCTACTATATGTACCTCTTCTTTATCCATGCCTCTGTTGATGGACATTTAAGTGGTTCCCTTGTCTTGGCTGTTGTAAATAATGCTGCAGTGAACATTATGGTGCACATATCTTTTCAAATTATGGTTTTCTCTGAATATATGCCCAGAACTGGGATTGCTGGATCATATGGTAGCTCTATTTTAGTTTTTTAGGAAACCTCCATAACATTCTCCATAGTGGCTATACCAGTTTACATTCCTACCAACAGTGTAGGAGGATTCCCTTTTCTCCCCACCCTCTTCGGCATTTATTGTTTGCATTTTTTAAAATTTTTTAAATTGGAGGATAATTGCTTTAGAGTGATGTGGGGATCTCTGCCTTACATCAACACGAATCAGTCATAATTATATACATATATATATCCCCTCCCTCTTAAGCCTCCCCCACCCCCTGACCTGTTCTTCTCCTCTAAATCATCACAGAGCACCATGCAGAGCTCCCTGTGTATTCTTTGCATATTTTCTGATGATGGCCGTTCTGACTGGTGTGAAGTGATACGTCACTGTATTTTGCTTTGCATTTCTCTGATATTTAGTGATGTTGAGTATCTTTTCATGTGCTTTTTGGCCATCTTGTATGTCTTTCCTTTGCAGAAATGTCTGATCTTCTGCCTGTTTTTTGATTGGGTTTTTTGTTTTTTCAATCTAGAGCTTCATGAACAGTTTTGTTGTATATTTTGGAGGTTAATCCCTTGTCAGTCACTTTGTTTGCAAATATTTTCTCCCATTCTGTGGATTGTCTTTGTTTATGGTTTCCTTTGCTGTGCAGAAACTTTGGCGTTTGAGTCCCATTTGTTTATTTTTATTTTCATTACTCTGGGAGGTTAATTCAAAAAGATCTTGCTGTGATTTATGTCAGAGTATTCTGCCTATGTTTTCCTCCAAGAGTTTTATAATGTCCAGCCTTATATTTAGTTTTTGATCCATTTTTAGTTTATTTTTGTGTCTGGTGTTAGAGAATAATTTCATTCTTTTGCATGTGGCTGTCCAGTTTTCCCAGCAACATTTATTGAAGAGACTGTCTTTTCTCCAATGTGTAGTCTTGCCTCCTTTGTCATAAGTTAATTGAGCTTAGGTACATGGCTCTATTTCTGGGCTTTCTGTCCTGTTCTATTGATCTATATTTCTGTTTTTGCACCAGTAGCATACTGTCTTGATGACTGTGGCTTTGTAGTATAGTCTGAAGTCAGGGAGCCTGGTCCCTCCACCTGCATTTTCCTTTCTTAGGATTGCTTTGGCTATTCAGTCTTTTGTGACTCCGTACAAATTTAAAATTTTGGTTCTAATTCCATGAAAAATGCTATTGGTAATTTGATAGGGATTGCATTGAATCTGTAGATTGTCTTGGGTAGTATAGTTATTTTGACAGTATTGATTCTTCAAATCTGAAAACATGGTGTATCCCTCTGTTTGTGTCATCTTCTATTTCTTTTCATCATCATCTTATAGTTTTCATAGTACAGATCTTTTGTCTCCTTATGTAGGTTTATTCCTAGGTATTTTATTCTTTTTGATGTGATGATAAATAGGATTATCTTCTTAATTTCTCTTTCTGACCTTTATTGTTCATGTGTAGGAAAGCAAGTGATTTCTTTATATTAACTTTGTACCCTGCAACTTTACCAAATTCATCGATGAGCTCTAGTAGTTTACTAGTACCATCTTTAGGATTTTCTGTGTATAGTATCATGTCATCTGCAGACAGTGGCAGTTTTACTTCTTCTTTTCCAATTTAGATTCCTTTCATTTCTTTTTCTTCTCTGATTGCCGTGGCTAGGACTTCCAAAACTATGTTGAATAAAACTGGTGGCAGAGGACAACCTTGCCTTGTTGCTGATTTGTAGGGAATGGTTTCAGCTTCTCACGATTGAGAATGATGTTAGCTGTGAGTTTGTCATATATAGCCTTTATTACGTTGAGGTAAGTTCCCTTTATGCCCACTTCCTGGAGTGTTTTTTTTTTTTTAAATCATAAATGGGTGTTGCATTTTGTCAGAAGCTTTTTCTGCATCTATTGAGATGATCATATGGTTTTTGTTCTTCAGTTTGTTAATGTGGTGTGTCACATTGATTTTTGGATATTGAAGAATCCTTGCATTCTTGAGATAAATCCCACTTGATCATGGTGTGTGGTCCTTTTAATGTTTTGTTGGATTCAGTTTGCTGGTATTTTGTTGAGTGTTTTGTGTCTGTGTTCATCAGTGATTTTAGCATGTAATTTTGTGTGTGTGTGTGGTATCTTTGCTTTTTGTTTCAGGGTGATGATGGCCTCATAGAATGAGCTTGGGAGTATTTCTTCCTCTGCAGTTTTTGGGAAGAGTTTCAGAAGGATAGGTATTAACTCTTCTCTAAATGTTTGATAGAATTTGCCTGTGTAGCCCCCTGGTCATGGACTTTTGTTTTTGGGAGTTTAAAATCACTGTTTCAGTTTCAGCACTTGTGATTGGTCTGTTCATATTTTCTGTTTCTTCCTGGTTCAGTCTTGGAAGGTTGTGTCTTTCTTAGAATTTGTCCATTTCTTCTAGGTTGTCCGTTTTTTTGGCATATAGTTTTTGTGTGTATGTGTGTGTGGTCATCTTATGATCCTTTGCGTTTCTCTGATGTTCATTGTAACTTCTTCATCTCTAATTTTATTGATTTGTACCCTTTGCCACTTTTTCCTGATAAGTTTGGCTAGAGGTTTATCGATTTTGTTTATCTTTTCAAAGATCTAGGTTTTCGGTTCATTGATCTTTTCTATTGTTTTCTTTGTCTATTTCACTGATTTCTGCCCTTATCTTTATGATTTCTTTTCTTCTACTAACTTTGGGTTTTGTTAGTTCTTCTTTCACTAGTTGCTTTACATGTAAAGTTAGATTGTTTGTTTGAGATTTTTATTGTTTTATGAGGTGAGATTGTATTTGCTGAGTCCCATAGGTTTGCTATTTTTTTATTTGTCACTTGTCTCTAGTTATTCTTTGATTACCTCTTTGATCCTTTCATTGATCTATTGGTTGTTTAGTGACGTATAGTCTTCACATATTTATATGTTTTATATTTTTTCCCCAGTAATTGATTTCTAATGTCATAGTTTTGTGGTCAGAAAAGATGCTTGATGTGATTTCAATTTTCTTAAATTTACCAAAGCTTGATTTTGGCCTATGGTGTGATCTGTCCTGGAGAATATTCCATGTGTACTATAGAAGAAGGTGTTTTCTATTTTCTATAAGTATCAACTAAGTCTGTTTGGTCTAATGTTTCTTTTTAGGGCCCATGGTTCCTTGTTGATTTTTTTGTCTGGATGATTAGTCCATTGATGAAAGTGGGGTTTAAAGTCCCCCACTATTGTGTGTCACTGTTTCTGCTTTTATGACTACTACCATTTACCTTATATATTAGGGAGCTCCTATTTTGAGTGCTTATATATTTACAACTTTTTAAAAAAGCCTTATAAGAAACAAGGAAGGACACCATGTAATGATCAAGGGATTAATCCAAAAACAATACGTAACAATTGTTATGTACACATACCCATTATCCTCTAAACTCTTTCCCATCCAGGCTGCCATATAGCATTGAGCACAGTTCCATATGCTATACAGTAGGACTTGCTGCTTATCCATTTTAAATATAGCGGTGTGTTCACATGTATCCCAGACTCCCTACAAACCCTTCTCCCTGCCCTTCACCCCTGACAACCGTAAGTCATTCTTAAGTCTGTGAGTCTATTTTGTTTTATAAATAAATTAGCTTGTATCCTTTCTTTTTAAATTCCCCATACAGGGGATATCATGCGATATTTCTTTCATCTCTGTCTGATTTTCTTTACTCAATATGAAAATCTCTATGTCCATTGATGAGGCTGCAAATTGCATTATTTCATTCTTTTTAATGGCTAAGTAT